ATATGGCCCAGCCCTAGTAATGTGTGTGTTTTTGTTGACCCCTGGAAGACACATTTATCACCACAAAATTAAACACCCATGCAAGACTTACCCTGTCCATGTTACTTAATGTTATCTCACTTCTTTTTAAAAAGAAAACACAGACGGTGTACTGATATAATGCGCGATATTCTCTTCCTGCTGTTCATCACCTATAGTAGTCAAAGTTTTTTAAGAGAAACCTAACCCTGTCACCCAAACTTTATCTGCCCCACTGTTTTCATTTGTCCTTGTTTTTCACTCCACACTCACTGCTGCACTTTAGCAAACAAAGTCTCAATAAAGAGTCAATTATTAGTGTAGTATTAATGTGCTGTGCAACCAGTCAATTATGCTCATAAACCATTTGTTTTATTACAAGTGCATGTTTGAAACAATGTAAGACAGGCCATTAATTTACTTGTCCTTACCGCTGGCTGTGAACACTTCTGATTGTGAGAGTTCCTGTTCTCCCCCATTGTCTGCATCATGAAATGCCCACCCCTTGTCTGACCTCGAAAAAAAGTAGAAAAGTTTTGATCTGAGTCAGTGAGAGTAACAATCTGAATATAACTACTGTCCGATGCAGAATTTTTTGGCATACTGTATTTGTTAAATGCCTCTTACCGGACTCGTGATGGTATGACATATAGTCTGATTGCTGACAAAAAACCATCAAAAACGGTTGTAGCTTTGTTGTTGGTGGCAGCTTTAAGGTAGACAATTAACCTAGAAGAACCATCTATCCCACCATGGACAACAAATCTCCTTCTGACAAGGCAGAAATATAAAAAGAAATGTACTGACAACGGCTTGCAGTCTGAATAGATAACCTTCGCATCATGACCCCTTCTGGATTGACTCGTCTCATTGAATCCATCAGTCGAAATGCTGATTAACAAACAGATCATATCTACAAACAACTACAACTACACAAAGACTGTATTGTAAACACTGTGATGCATATATGACAGATCATCCTTGCTTGGTACCTGCTTTTTAAGGTACCATTTGTGCTACACTTCTGATGAAGAGGAAGAATATGTGGAAGAGGACCCAGCTGAGACAGAAGAATATATCCAGTCAAATATATAAATATCCAGTCAAAGGATGAAAAATTGATCTGGTCTTTAGTTCCTCCCAGCGACAGATTAAGCAAGTTGACAATAAAGAGAGACAAAAGCCACCATGGTCCAACCGCATATGCAAGGTCTCGTATTGATGACATAAATTCCACTTTTTCCCAAGTTTATTGAAGAGGTGGTGCTGAACATGACAAACAAGGAGGGCCGACGTGTATGGCATCAAGTGGAGAAAGATGGATTGAATCGACCTGCAGGCATATGTGGGTATGCAGATTTTCGCTGGTGTGTACCACTCCAGTAAAGAAGCTACGGCTAATTTATGGCATGCTGAGTCTGGTAGGACAATTTTCCGTGCTAGCATGACACTCAAGATGTTTCATAAAATCTAAAGAGTGATTTGATTCAATGATAAAGACACAAGAGAAGATTGTCATGCACAAGGCAATGTTGCTCCCATACGAGATGTATGGGATAAGTAGGTGTCTCTTCTGCCAATGATGTACAATTCAGTCACTGATGTGACTGTGGATGAGCACCTAGTGTCATTCAAACAGCTGTCCATTGTCGCTGTCCATTCAAACAGCACATCCCAAGCAAACCAGGGAAATATGGAATAAAAATATGGGCAGCATGCGATGCCAGGTCTAGTTATGCATGGAATATGCAAGTATACACTGACAAACCTGCTGTGTAATTGCACTACGATTCGTTATAACGTTTGACACCAGCAGCTGGCAGACTGGTTATGGAGAACCAGCACTTCTGCTCCAGCTCTACCTCTGCCGCAGTTCTTCCTCAACCAGCTGTCCCTACTTTCCCATCACCCAAGGAGGTGCAAATTCTGCCCTTGTAAGACTGATTTCAAAACATCAAAAATGGGCCAAAAATGCAATCCATACATCTGCAAAAATCAACCCATTGATTTGAAAAAAATAAATAAAAAAAATTAAGTGCTTTAAAACTAACATGCCATCTTAACTTTTACATATTACAAAAAGAGTATGGTCATTTGGAAGACATTACAAGGGTTAAACTAACGGATTCAGATATTTGAGTACTTCCAGAATTCCCACCCACAAAGTGGTGGCTAGTAGTAGTGTAGTAGTATCAATGGTACCAGGAACTGTAACCCTCTGGTGAGTCTACAGAGATACATTTTCAAACTTGTCTAAGAGATAATTAACTTACAGTCAATTCAGGGTCAACTGATCCAGCCCGAACTATGATCTTTATAACAAAAAACAAAAATTTCCAGCATTATCTTGAAAATAGAGGCCTGTTTTGTGAATTCAAACGGGGAGCTGACTTTATAGCAAAGGGGCCTGATAGCTGAGGGCTCTACCTCACAGTCTCAGAGCAAAGTGTTGTGATATGATGATTGATGAAGTCTTATCATTCAGGATTAAAGTGGATTTAAAATTAATGTTTACTAATTGGTTAACAATGTCATGGTCTGGGTGAGTAGATGTATTTTTCTATAGAGCTGGAGCTTCCACCCCTAAACCCTTAACGGTCTGCACCTGTTTGCACTTTGGACTACCTGCATAAAAGACCAGCGCTCTCAATGAGTCCTTGCCAGATCTTCTGCTAGCCTGCGTTAGTGTGAGGCCTCCAAGTTGTGCTATGCTTTTATTGTAAATATTTCTTGACATGCCTCTCCTTTCACCGCCCCCCTCCTGATCACTAATGCGCATGTTAAAAAACACAGCAAAGCAGCAGGCAGAGTTAAGAGCTCTGCCTATCCGGGGTAAATCCTGATCAATTTCATTTTAAGAAGAAACTCCGGTGAAATAAAAGAATAGTGACTGCCACTGCTCCTCTCTCCTTTAGTTGGCACCAGACAGGCAGAAAGGACAGGCGAGGACGGATTTTAATTTTGTGGCTGAGGCCATTGGACTTTTTGGCTGTATTGTTTTTATGCTTTTAACTTTATGTTCTCCCTGGAAGGTGTGTTTTAACTGTTTTTGTCTTTTTCTGAAATTATTTACATAAAACAAATCTTTTATATTTTTCTATTGCCTTGGCTCCCCAACTGCTCTGTCCGCTTTTGAAGGGTTTCCCATACCTGTTGTCCACACGCTCACTCAGGTCGGTTCCTGCAACAATAAATGAGTAAAGATTGTATTAGTGATGTGTCGGTTGCGAACGAAATGGCTCTTAGAGCTGGCTCTTAGAGCCGGATCTTTGACGTGAACGACGTGAGCCGGCTCCTTATCGCGAGCCGTGGGGTTTAAATAGTTTTAATTTCAATAGTTAAAAGTTGAAACGTGAATAGTTTTGTATTATATGATTTCTTTATTACATTTTATGTGAAGTGAATAAATAAAAGTATATTTATGGTGGCCCCTAGAGACAAAGCACGTACAAACTTCAAAACATGTCTGAACTCTGAAGCACGTACAAACCGTGAAGCCCGTACAAACTCAAAAACACGTAAAAACTCCAAAACACGTACAGCTCTTTCGGCTCGGCTCACTAAAAAGAGCCGGCTTTTTCGGCTCCAAACCGGCTCTTCAGATTGTTTTGCTGCTTTAAGTAATTTATTATTAACAATGATATAAAATTATGCACAAAAGGAATTACTAATGTTAAAAAAAAGTGGTTTTATTTATATATGTTTACATATAAATATATGCGGTGGCCCCTAGAGACAAAACACGTACAAACTCCAAAAAGCACGTACAAACTCCAAAACACATTTCTAGCGTTAACTGAACTTCCAAAGCAGAGCTACCTGGATAACTTAAATTACACAATTGAAAGCATATGTGTATTACTAATGTTAAAAAAAGTGGTTTTATTTATATATTCAAATAATTAAAAAAAAAAAATGTTCATTTACCTGTTACTACCACACACCAAATCCGGTCGTTGGTACTTGCTGGGTTGTGTAGCCACTAGGTAACAAAAGCTCAACACTGCGCCTAGCATCCTGGAGCACTTCTGTTGTGTTTTGTACTGTTTTGAGTTTTTATGTGCTTCTGAGTTTTTACATGCTTCGAAGTTTGTACGTGTTTTGGAGTTTTTACGTGTTTTGGAGTTTGTACGTGTTTTGTCTCTAGGGGCCACTGCATATATTTATATGTAAACATATATAAATAAAACCACTTTTTTTAACATTAGTAATTATCATCCCAGTCATGGTGTGGGTGCTTATCTTTTAGTGTTGGCTGTAAAACCATTATTATATTCATATGTTAACCATATTAGGATATTTTTCTATCTTATATAGAGGTTCATATAATAAACTCTTGTTGTTTGGTTTTTACATGTTTCATTTTATTTAAAAATCCTAAAAGTCACATTTTAACATTTATTTTCACATTTATTTTTGTGAACTTTGAACATTATATGTTTACACAAAAAACCCAAATAATTCAAAATTGTTCATCTTTCTTTTTTTAAGTTTATGTTTTTGCAATTTATATATGTTTTACAATTTTAAAGGAAATAGCAGGCAGACTAACGTGATTTTTTTGGAAGAAAGAAAAGGTAATTTTGGCTGTTTGCAGTCTTTCACTGGACAAGGCCTTGTATCCAGCATGATCAAACAGTACCCATGATAAAAGGATCTATTACAAATGCTGATAAGAATAATGTTCAGATATGTATATCATAAAAGAACCTTTAGAATATAACATTTAATAATATAAAAGTATTTATATATTTTTGAAAATATAATTTATATTTTAGATATTAATAAAATGTTACACATTTTTTTCAATCATCTGCAGTATCGACCTGTCAAGTCTGTGTCAAAGAAATATTATATATGTGGGAGAGTCTGACGGAGACATAAAATAACTAGCATTATTGAGTACCTTGAATAGTACCATATAGTAGTGCTGTTTGTGCTATAACTGTCAATATTAAAGGAGGGGGAGGGGGCAAACTGACAAGTTTTCTGTCTTCATTTATTTCACAAGTGATAGCAGAGCTGTATGTTTTAATTTTTTCAGAAATCCCTCAGGCAGAACATGGTATATGTTTAACTGGAAACTAGTAAGCTAAGCTAGCTAAGCTAAGCTAACTGCATGCTAACTTCTAACTACATTAAATTAGATAAGTTCTGTTTTCACGGATGCCTGGATTTTAAACTTAATTATTATACCTGGTAGAGCAGCTACTGCATACATTTTAATTTTAAAAAATTTAATTTATCCATACGCAAAAACTGAGTTTTCGAAAATCTCCACTGTGGCAGGAGTTCTTAAAAATCTCAGTTTTCAGTGATTGAAAACGCAGTTTAGATGTGGACGAAAGGTGCAAATGCATAGAAAAAGCTGCGTTTTCAAAAATACCCGTGTACGTGTGTAGGTAGCCTTTGTTTCACTGCTGTTGAGCTGTTTTTTTGTTTTCAGTGATTATTTTACACTTCTTAGGCTACGTCTACACTACTCTGTTTTCTTTGACCAAAAAAGCCATCTCACTGAGACACTAATTGTCTTACGCAGTTTCAAACAGCTGGAACAGATTCTGTTTGGCAGAAACTTGTGAGTTTCTCAACAGTTTTCCACCTATTTAACTTCAAATCTCAAATATCTTACTGCAATGATAGATTACCAGAGTTTTGAATGAGAGTGTATAGGAGTCAATCACAGTGATCAACCCACAGGGCGTTCCCTCTCAAAAGACAAGCAAGGCACGTCAGAGAAAAACCATGCCATGAAAGAGCTCAGGTCTTAGGAGGTTGAAAATGTCTGTGCTGATGAGACCAGTGAATGTGGGGCGACGGTGGCAAGAAAAAACTCCCTCCTGGAGGAAGAAATCTTGGGAGGACCAGGCTCTCTGGGAGGACCCTTCCTCCTGAGGGCAATACTTACTAATATTTGTCCTCCAGTCAGCGATGGTGGACTGGGACGACTGCTTTTCCTTCTCAGCGTGATGATGACCTTAACTTCCTTCCGTATCCTGTTTTAGAACTGAGAATGAAGACAAAACTGGTTAACAAGGTAACAGGACATTTAAAAATTCTCTCACTTCAGGATGAGATGCTGTGTCTTCTTACGTTTCTCTTGTAAAACAGCATGTAGGCCGAGTGCTGCTGTTCCTCACAAACTGCAGATCTAGTTGTGTGGAGCACCTGTGCGTCATTATAGGTGAGCCAGCGATCTGATGTAGAGTGCTGACTCTCCTCAGGATGGACAGAATTACAGATGTAGTGTCCTGAAATTACATTAAGACAAATGAATCCAACTTCTGGAAGTCAGCTGATTCAAGCAAACAGTGATTTTGACTTAGTGCTTCTTAGAACATCAAAAGCTTTTGTGTGTGAGTCCTTCATTGAAAAGTAGCAAGTTTTCATTTTCTGTTTGTAACAAGTCTGTTGTTTTACCTGACTCTGTGCCTCCATAATGACTGATGATGCTTACAAGACTGTAACAGCCACCCTGAGAAGGAACAAATCCAAAGAGTGTTAGTCTCACATCGGTGCCATAATTAAGCTGATTCTCTGAGATGTTCTGCAGTCTGTTTTTACCTGTTTGGATGACACCACCAAGTCCCCCTGCAGCCTAACAGGGGCATACACCTTCTGAAGCTTGTAGGTAGGGTTTGTGTAAAGCTAAACCTCTTCAGGTGCAAGAAGAGAACTCTGGCAGAAAAGAAAAAAACAAACAAACAAGGTAGAAAATAAGAATGAGTGTCAAACACAAACAGAAGATGGGTGAAAATAATTGCTGAAGAGTTGTCTTAAAAAACTCTGATGTTTGATGCGCGACCAGGTCAGTCGATCAATTCGGATGTGACCTTACTCACCTTGGCAGTGTATCAAAAGGTGACTTCACGAGTTACAAGCTCAGCAAGGCACCCCTCCAACAGCCAAACTCACCTGTTCCCTGATTGGATTGTTAAATTTGTGATTGACATGACATTGACCAATCAGCTGAAAGGACGAAAAATTTGGTCAACATTCATACTTGTAAGATAAAACTGACACACAGCCAGGGAACTTTAGTTCAGAATTTTACATAGTTTTTTGTTTTGTATCTGTAACTAGAACTTAACGAAAAAAAATTGTAAGTTGTATAAATATATTTTTTACAATCACACAAATTCTCATCTATAGATGCATGTTCAGTTTAAGTAGGATCCAGCTTTTAAAAAAAACACCATAGAAAACGGCATTTGCCCCAACAGAATCTGGTATTTTATGCCAGATACTAGCGTCTTGAACGCCCCTACTGAGTGGCGGAAAAAACACAGTTTTTACCTGTCTTTGAACGCCGCTTTTTACGTCGCTCTGCAGAAACTGTGGCAAGCCATCTAAGCCAATATTCGGCAATTTTCTAACTCGTTTGGTTAAGAAAGGGCATAGTAAATGCTATTTAATAATTCAAAACGCTATTAAAAACGGCGTTTGCCCCGACAGAATGCTGTATTTCACTCCAGCAACTGGCGCCTTGAACGCTCCTTCTGAGTGGCGGAAAAAACGCAGTTTTATCCGTCTTTGAACGGCGTTTTTTATGTCTTTCGGCAGAAAACGCTGTTAAAAGATGGATCAGGTGTGACAGCGTTTAAAACGGTGTTTTGTTGAAATTATGCAGGGCACCTCCCATTGCACCCTCATCCAATTACTTTCAACTCCTTTCACCAAATCAAAGAAGAAGAATTGCAGACCATACTAATTGATCACAGATTCACCTTGCTGCTAAGTGAATGTCTATTCGGTACCAGTGCTTGTCACAGTTTTTACTTGTATTACAATCCCACTATGCAATTTGATGTGTTTAAAGCATGATCAAACAAGCAAACGACAGAATGCTTTTTCTGAAACAAGTGGAGACCTTAACTGTGTCTGTTGGAGCAGCTCTGCTCATGTCTGACCTTCTTTCGTATTTTCGTCTTTACTTCTCTTAACCTTTAACTTACGTCTTACGGTGCGTTCACACCGAACGCGTTAGACGCGACCAAAAAGCGCCAGACGCTCCTAGCTGGTCGCGTGCACATTTGCACCTTGACGCGGGACCAACGCGAATTGGTCGCGCTTCAAAATATGCTATTTTCACGCGTGTGAAGCGGAAATGTGGGAGGAAGTAGTGCCAGACGGTATGTTTGCAAAATGGCAGCTGTCAATCTAGCGTTTGAAGAGAGAGTCTCCTTCTCTATTTACTGTGGAGAGCAGAGCAGCGGCGTAAAGGACGTCCTCGCCGTACCTGGGTCCATCTGGTCCTCTAGAAGCGTGAGCAGTTTGGTGAGTTTCACCACTTGCTCCAGGAGCTGCGTATGGATGATGGCCGCTTTCAGCGGTACCACCGTCTTTCCCTTGCCCAGTTTGAGGAGCTGCTGTCCCGCGTGGGTCCCAGCATTGCCCGCCTAAACACCAATGTCTGTCTTCCTGCGGTTAGTAAAAGTGTTTAATACGGTAGTCCTTTATTGATACCTGTGCTAATATATTATATTAGGGGTGCAACAATACTCGTATCAATATTGAACCGTTCGATACAGTGCTTTCGGTTCGGTATGCATATGTATCGAACAATACACATTTTTTATTTATTTTATCAACTTTTCTTCTGACGATGCTGTCTGTGTCGAGCGCTCAGTGGATCTGCGTTCAACTACTCCGCCTAGGCTGCACTGTCGTAGCACAAGCTAGCAAGACAGAAGCTAAGCTCGTTGCAACATGGCAACTGCCTCAACACTACCCGAAATTGAACCGCCCCCACCCTCATTCAGATCTGCCGTTTGGAACTATTTTGGTTTTCATGTGAAGTATGACCCTGATGGTAAGCGCGTCATGGACAAAAGTAAAACAGTATGTCGGATGTGCCACGCAATGCTCAATTGGTGGGAACTAGTGCGTTAGCGCAGTTAGCTCGTTAACGACAGACTGTCTGATGAAGGAAGAACAAACAAATATTATGTGAAATCAAATTTAACTTCCCTTTTTCTTTTTTTTTCTTTTTTTTACAGAACTCTTAGTTACCACATAGCTGGTTAACAGCCTGTAACATGCAGTAGGCACAATACATTTTGCTGTGTGTGTTGTATACAATAATGTCACACATCTTAAATGACATCAGGGAAATATTAAAAATAAAAGCTTTATTGCAGTTTGTGCACCCACATAACCACTGGTGTGCTTTCACACACCTGGAAAACTTTTATTTCTCTGATTGTGACTGTGAGAAGAACTTTTGGTGTTTTGTCTTTTGACAAGACATCCACATCCCACTACCACACAAAATGTTGTAGGTGTACACTGTGGTTTTAGCTTAGCTGCAGAAGCAGAGGTGGGGCAGAGCATTTCAGAGAGCAGTGCCAGGTTGAGCTGAATGGTACAGCTGCTGCATATCTTCTAATCAGCCATTCCTTTTTACGTAGCAGGGTGAAATTTTGAGACACAGAGACCACAGAGCAGCCACAGCCGTACCAAGCTACACACCTGTCTAAGAAGGAAGTAACCTGAGTTGTTGCTTAGCGTATTGTGGCAGACTGGGTTTGAGCAGCACATGGCTTTTGTTTGTATACAACTGGATGTGAGCTTAGGCTGCTCTCAATTAAGATTATTTCTTCTGAAAGTCATAAATCCCTGCAGCTCAAGAACTTTGGATACGGACCCAAGATCTCTGGGAGTATCCCCAAAGCATCAGAGTTTTCCACATTAATGCACATGGAACAACAGTAGTAGCCTAAGCCTTTCCACAAAGTCATAGTTTTGCTGCCATTTGGAGCACACCAGCTTTAAAGCAAGGAAGAACACACAGAACCTTCATGGTTGTTGTGATGGAGGACATGCAGAAGGGCGATGTGACAGTGGAGGATGGGTGAGATGGAGGCAGATGTCCCACTATGTTGATTCTTAAATGGAGTGGCTGGAAAAAAAAGCTGCTGTTTCATTACCTGCGTGAAGTAACTACAATATGGCAACACACAGATGTTACAGATGGTTCTGAAATCCCCAAAATAATAAAGAAGTTTTACAGACATTTGGACTTGCTCAAAGTGAACATTTCACTTCCCAAATGTTGCAGTGTGGAAGGGAGACATCTCCAAACATTTATGTAATATAGCCAAAAAATAACTGAATGAAATAACTGTCCATACTTCCCAATCATTACATATTAACTATGCTTCTTTAATACATCCCAGCCTTCATTTATCAGAAGCCAAAATTGGCTTTTGTGTAGGTCTAAGTCCAACAATCAGAGAGACATAGTGGATCATCTGGTTGAGGCACCTTGACCTTAACAGTATTTCTTCATCTTATGTTATATATTTCTTAATACTTATGATACTCTGATGATGAGCAGGAATGTGAACCGTGAGACCAGTTGAAAATCTACTGCTATTGTCTGTTGTCAACTTTTGTAAAAGGTGATTTGATTTACATCTACATTATTTACAAAATATTGAGGTAAACTAGGTTATATGTTTTTAAAAAAATTAATTTTTAAAAAAACAGACATTGTGTCTTTGTTAGTAAAGCACAGAAATGAGATTTTTGTTTGTTTTTGTTGCATTCTTCATTGTCAGATTGCGCATGGCAATCTGCTTTTTGCTTTTAAATGGTAAATCTGAGTCATTTTAAAGAAGTTATTGACATACTTGTACTGTATTTTTTCTCATGAACACATTTGCATCAAGATTTAAAAGCTAAACACAACTTCACTATCTAAAACTGAAACCAGTGATTTTATCCTACAAGATGTGCTAATCATCAGTCCGGACCATACATACAGGAAACACTACTCACTGTCTCTTTTGTCTGTGTGTGTGTAAATAGAGAGAGAGCATCAGAAGCACAAGCAGTTTATGCTGCCACTGCTGCAGAGATGATGCGACTGTGTTGGGCCCTAGTACTGATTTTTTCTTATTCCACTTCAGGTATGTTCATTTACTTTCCTATTCTGAGGTTTTCATTTTGTTTATGTCTGCATGAAATAACACTAGCTGAGAGAGGACTTTTTTTTTTTTTTACCATTTCTTAATTTGTTTCTGGTTTAAATTAATGTCACATTACATTTTGATATGTCTCTAAAGTGCTTCCAGAACAACTGGTATTCAGCCACTGTTAATGCAGGTGTCTTTGACATGTCTTTAATCACAGACTTTGTCTCTTTTATAACAGAAGGCACTATAATCATCACAGAGCCTGGTGAGAGCATCACTTTGAAGTGTTCCTCAGAAGTATGCCCCAAAAACAATGGTCGATATGCTGGGATGTATCTGTATCATAGGTTTACTGAACAGAATGAGGTGTATTACTATAGAAACCATGTAAACAGCAAAGTCGCTGTGCGATCGAGATACAAAGGCAGGATTGAGTCAAACGGAGCTCCCATGAACCACAGCATCACCATGACCAATCTGACTGTGGATGATTCTGGTGTCTACACTTGTGTCTACAAAGAATCAGTAGACAAAAGTGTTGAGTGCAAAGTCTACACAGTTTTTGTAAGAGGTGAGTGTTTTCTTCCATTTAACTCCAAAATCTTGTCCAGTAACTAAAAGACTTTAGAGGGGCTAAAGACAGTATACTGTAAATGTACAGTACACAGTTACAAATTCAGGATGTGATTTTTACATTACGAAGTAGCAACAGTATAGGAAGTTGGTTTATATTTACCTACACAGTGGTGACATTACACATGGATGTGGTTATTTGGGCTCCAGGAAAGTCAGCTTTTTATTACCCTAAACTCCAATATGTCGTATTTTTATGAAGTATTTAGGCAGGATAGCACTCTATAAACACCACTGTTGCTGAAAAATATATTTAAGAAAGTTATTGTACCAGCAACAACTGTTTCAGTTTAATACTTTTGCACTTCTGAATCTGTAAAATATAACCTCATTTTTAAAAAAAAAGTTCACTGTAAAATGTTACTAAAAACAGCACACAGTGATTTGCAAATCTCATAAACCCACATTTTATTCATAACAGAATATTTAAACTGAAAATATATACAATTTAAAGAAAAAAATTAGGTCAACACATCTACAAAACATTAGGACAGGGTCACATTTAGTACTGTGCAGCATACCTACTTTTTTTTAAACAACAGATCAGTTGCTGGACTTTTAGGAAAGTAATGTTGTCCCATTTTTGTCCAATAGCACTCTAGCTGCTCAACAGTCCAGGGTCTTCCTTGCCATGTTTTTCTTTTTATGATGCACCAAATGTTTTCAGTTGGTGAAAGTTTGGAATACAGGCTGAAGAGCTCGGCACCGTGTTGTCCAGATTGGAACCTACTGTTTGTTGCTCTAAAACCTGCATATACCTTTCAAAATCGATGGTGCCAAATGTACAGGCTTTCAGTTCCACAGGCACTAATGCATCCTCACTAATGGTCCCTCTCTTCTTTAGTCTGAAAGAGTCCAAGTTTTCCAAGAAGTATTTCAAATTTCGGGTTTTTTGTCCACCGAACAGTTTTCGACTTCATTTAAAACTAACTTTGGCCCAGAGAAGATGGCACTGTTTCTAGATCACATACACATATGGCTTCTTTGCATGATAAAGCTTTAACCTCCTTTTGAGGATGGCATGGTCAACTAACACAGGCAGTGATTTATGGCTGTGTTCCTGAAACTATGCAATGATTTCCAAGGTAAAATCATACCTGTTTTTACTGAACTACCACCTGAAGGCCCAAAGATCACTGGCATCCAATACTAATTCTCTGAATCTTTTGATATTATGTAATACAGATGATGAGATATTCAGTCTTAATGGTTTTACATTGAGGAACATTATAGTTTTTACCAATTATTAATGGCCCTCTGCCCATCTTGACTTCTTAGAAACTCTGCCTCGCTACAAAGCTCTTTTTGTACTTTGTTATAACGCTGACTTCCTGCCAATTAACCTAATTAGCAAGAGGTGAAGTGTTCCTGCAGGGCTTTGTTTTTGCTACTACTTTATTTTACAGTCTTTTTTTGCCCTCCATCATCATTTTGAGACAAACTGCTGCCATCAAATGAAAAATGACTTAATATTTTTCATGAAAAAGTAAAATTTCACAATTTAAATATTTGACGTTTTCTGTGTTTATGAGATTTGCAGATCATTACATTCAGTTTTAATTTACACTTTACACAACTTCTTTGGTCGTATACAAACACAGGGCTCCTGTTTAATGTGTCTTCTATATGTTTCATTACTCCAGCTTGTAAATGATGTGACCTAATCCACTTTTCTTGTCAAGGTGACATATACAAAAAATACCAATTTTCTGTTGTCCTTCCTGACTATGAAGGGTTTTGTATCAAAAAATTTTTTGCTGTTAAAGTACAGTTAAAGCTATTCTAAATTTGTATTTACATTTTTTTCCATACAGAAATAACAAACAAACCTAACAGAGAGCTCCAGACGACCACAGAGAAGAGACGTCTACCTGGTGGTAATCGTGAGCATAATACTACCGAGCATCCCAAAGGTCAGTTTGATTCTCTCAACTAACAGCCTGTCTGTTAACTCCCAGTGCTGTTATCAGCCAAGTGAGGTGCACTGCATACAGATGCTTCCATTGCCACAAATTAGCTTGCACACTTTATGAAGCTATAAAAAAAAGAAGTAGCAATAACAAAGAAAACGATTTTATGTTAAGTTTTACAATTGTGATATCTCTTATGGTTGTGGTCTTCAGTAGGGCTGAACTCAACTTACAGTAGATATAAAACACAATAGACCATAATTCACAATTAATCAAATTGATGTGCCATTTGGGCTTGGTGACACCCTCAACAGTAATGCTGAATAAAAGTAATATAAAAGGCTATTGTTTTTTTTTAAACAAACAGTGACAACACAGATTTTAATTACTTTTAATTACTTTTCCTCTTCCTATATGATATACAAAGAGAAGAGCAATCTTCCTTTTATTTTTAGATGAGCTCTTCTTGAGTTTTCTTTTGGAGAATTCTGTATTACATTGCAAATTTAAAGTTAGAACAGTGTAATTAAAGGAGTGCACCAGGATGGTAAACTTCTTATGTAGCTGAATGAAGACATCACTTGTGTTTCCCTGTATTTCACACAGAACCATGTTCCAGACAAAAAGCGCTCTTGTCCACTGCAGAGGAGAGACATCTACCTCTGGTGTTAATCATCAGTATTTCCACCATCATCCTGCTGTTCATCATAATCTTAATCCTACTGATGATCCAGAAGGTGAGTTCAGTTCTTTCTACTTAAAGCTTTCTATGTAAGGTACTGTTATGTAATCCAGCCCTGCAGCTATGGTGTGCAGCAGTGGTTATCTTCTGTCTGCAGACATGTAAATGTACACATTTATTAGCCTCACCGCAACCAAGTATGACTGCTGTAAACACTGTAAACGCTCTTGCGCTGACTTGCTGATTATATCAGAAACCACTGAATTATCTGTTTGGATCTTGAAGTGCAGCTGTGAAAGGGCTGCAGCTCCTTGGAAAGTACATCACACTATTCACGTCTTTCGCTCTGTTAGCTCAAGATGAAAATAATTTTTCTTTGTTACAAAACCCAACTTTAATAATACACTAACACACCTGTCCTCTGTAAAATCCACTTCTTAAGAACTCCACTTGGCTTTGTACCCACTGTGAGCACTGTTTTATTGTTTTACCATGTGTCAAATCATTTGTCAAAAATGAAAACTTTCTAGAAATTAACTGGATGTACTTTTTTGAAATCTGCTTAAACCATCATACTATTTATACAGAAAACTGATACAGTGGTATTTTACTATTGACAGGCGAGAAAAATGAAAAGCCACGAAAGAAAAGCAAGACCTTCCCTGCAAGGATCCAGTGATTATGTGTATGAAGTTATGATGAAGACCAACGGGTGCCCAGCAGCAGCTCCAGAGCAGCCAACACAAAACCCCTATGAGCTTGTTTAGATATGTAGTCGAATATTATTCGCTTCTGGAGGGTTTCTTTTTAAGCTGTTGATGGGGTGTTTTTTCTTCTTCTTTTGTTTCACTGCTTTTGGTTGATTTTTGTTTTTGAAGTGATTTAAATCACAATGATGCACTCAACGTGACCATTCATAGTGTTGCATTGCCTCTGTTCCCTGATTATTCGAGAATTGAGAGGGCATTTGAAAAAAGCATAAATACATATTGTGATATCATAGGGATACGGTTTGGGTTGTTGCTTGTGAGGACCTGGACCTCAGACACCATAATAAACATCAGCAGCCTGATTATTCATCTGTTAGTTTAGCACAAATGAACACGTGGTGAGTGTTTCTTGTTTATGTATTATAACTTGGAGGGTGCATGCGAGGACATGTGAAACACACTTGTGGCCAAAAACCACCGAAGATGGGTGGGAGGGTGGGGATGGGGATGAGTGGTTTATATTTCTACATGCAGATATCTCACATGGTTTATTAATGCTGATTTGATAACAGTCGCATATAAATAACTGATGTAATTAGAGTTCTGAAAGTGGAGATGAGACTGGATGATAACTGGTTAGACTGTTTATTGGTAAATGGCCTGTATTTGTATAGCGCTTTTACTAGTCCCCCTAGGGACCCCAAAGCGCTTTACACACCCAGTCATTTATTAGAATGGAAATAACAGACATGTTTTGAAACAGTTGAAGTTTTGTTTGTTTGTTTGTTTGTTTCTTGGCTTGTATGCTTTATTATTGTTAATTCCAAACCTTCTCCATAATTTGTGCTCTGTGCTCTGGAATATAACAACAGTAATCTGAGGTATAGTATAATAAAAAAAACATTCAATGAAAAATATTCAAGGAAACACACACAAACACACACACGCACACACATACAAACAGTATAACTGGTTTAAGTAAATGCTGCAAGATCTTTATTGTTCAAAGGGGAGAGTGTACAGTATGTTCTGGATTAAACTCATTTGTCATTGCTGTCAATAAAAACCTGCATTATGTGGTGTTTGCACTTTCATAGAGTGAAATTTGTTTTGATTTAGGGTTTTGTGAGCATATTTCCTAGGCATTGTTTCCCCACTTTTTCAGGTTTCTGGGCTATTTTCAACAGTGTCTTCTTCATATCACCTGCACTGAGAGGAATGTTTGCTTTGAGAGGAGACTTTGTCAGGAGTTGTACCTTGATAGAGTGGTGAGATTTTCAGTACGAATCCCAGATGGGTTTAAGGTGAGGGTGGAATTACATCAGTGATTGGCTCTGAGCCTCTTCTTGTTTGCAATAGTGGTGGGTAGGTTTACTGATGGGGTCAGGCTGGAGTCTCCATGAACTGATGTTTGCAAGCGACATTGTGAGAGCAGGGAGCAGGTGGATGTGTGCTCTGGAGAGAAGAGGTATAAAAGTCAGTAGAAGGAAGACAGAATACTTGTGAATGAGTGGGAGAAAGGTGTAACAACAGAGCTGCAGAAGTATAAGTAGTTAAGATAGCTGTGTTATGTATCTGGTGCGTGCCATTCAAAACAACGGGCAATGCAGAGAGGTGAAGAAAATAATGCAGGCAGGTTGGAGTGTGTGAAGACCACTGTGAAGGGTGATTTGTGACAGAGGGATAGCATGAGGAGTGAATGTGAGACCTGCTATGGTTTGGTTTTACTGACACAAATTTGGCAAACAGTGTAATTTGTGAATATACATTTTAATGGCAGTCCCAGAGTGAAAAAAGAATATGACCAATAAAAGCCACGATCTATTTGAACTCTTAGATTATTCATTCATTCATCAGTTAGTTTTGTTTTATTTATTTAGTCTCTTGCAGAGTAAAAGCCAGTGACATGGCTACTGATAGTCTCACTTTTAACCACAAGAGAGCAGCACTTGACAGTTTTTCTATTGTAAAACTCTTCCAGTAGGATCAGCAGGACCAGCACCACAAATACAGGAAGCCTGGATCAGCTCTGTGGTTAAAAGGTTGCAATCTCTGATCCTATGGGTCTTACCCAGAAGGAAATGCACAATTCAGATGGAGCTGATGTGGGTGGGGGGACTCGCCCAGCTCTAAATACGTTGAAGTCGGCACGTCCTCCCTGCTTCCCCTGATGAGATAAGCAAAACCTGAGTAGCCTTGCAGGTCAAATCCTACCAGTCCCACCTGTTATGACAGCTCCCCTCTAGATTGGTGCACTTCTTAATAACATGGCCTGGACAGTATTTAAAGGGCTGGAGTAACCTGTAAAAGCTATTTGCACTAATAAGGATAAATACTCGGATTTTTACCTGCACTGCTTAACAAAAGTTTAAAAAGTGAATATCCACCATTTGGACCTATTACAGGATATTTTATTAAAGCAGTTTGGCAGGAAAAAAAGCTAAATGAAATGCAAATAAAACGAAATAATAATCAGTTAAATCACTTGAACTATGCTTATCCAATCAACCTACTCTGAGCTAATGCTGATTTTGTTTTGATTGTTTGAAGGAGAAAGGCACATCCAGGCCTAGAGATGCACTTATTTCTGTGTTCTGTGTTGACTGGGAATTCAAATGTTCTTGATTCTATAATCCAACATGACAAAAAATGAGTAGAGAAAAAGCCAAAAAAAACCCATACAAAACCAATTTGCAGGTTCACTGGTTGGGTTGCAGTTGATCCCTCTGGCATCTCCGCTGGAATTTACGACTGTGGACACCTTAGGTCAAATCTGCAGTACTGCAGGGTCACATTCAAACCTGTTTCATTTGCCCAAATCTGCCTGCAATGCTGTAGCAATTAGCACTGACATAGCATCTCAGATTTGAACAAGTCTAGGGGCAGCTCTGTTTAGAAAAAAAGAAAAACAACACTGCGGGGGGGTTTCCATTCAGTCGAGGTTTAGTAGCCACCGAGGGCATTGACTGATTGCAGGGGAGAGTGTAGCCGAGTGGTAAATTAATAATAATATTTTCCATTTCAGTTAACCAAATATCCATTTAAGGTTCAAAAAGGGGTCTTAAAATGTTTTTCTTTGTTTCCATGTACGGTAAGACAAGAATGTTGTTGGGTAATTTAATGTTATTGCTTATCTGCATGTTGTGTGCACTTGAAGCTGTTAATTTTATAGGTTTGTGTAGTTGCATATTGTGGTCACTGGGGGGGGGGGCAGTGCTTAAGGGTTAACTGCAGTTTTCCAAAAAAAAACTTAACAAGAAATGCATCTTGGGACTTCCTGTTTACCTTTCTTTTTGTTGTGGATGTGGAACGGGAATGTTGTGAAGGAGTTAAATTGTTGGTAAGGAATTGTTAAATATGCACATAACTCATTGAAACATATTGTTATAATTGTAGTGCAGTGGCAAAACGTCAGTATTTTAACAAGATGATGTATTTCTTAAATGTATGATGCAAAGGACCTGTATGTGCAGTGTGGAGCGGCCATTTTCTCCATGCAAGGGATAAGCTGCGAGATCGTCTGTGTGCTGCAGTATTGCAAGTGAGCTGAGATTTCTGTGGAATGTAAGTATTTATAAAAATGTATGTAACACTTCCACATTTTTTAAAGGAGCCTTGTGTGATTTAGTTCTTTGTATTTTGTTCTGCACAGACAGGGGCCACTGCCGTATTTTTGTGTGTTGTATTTCATTTCATTTATTTTATTCCTCGTATTGTATTTGCGCATCTTTGTTTAATCGGTTATTCTGTTACTTTGCCACGTTACCTCTCGTGCTGTCGATGTTCAGTACAAGTCCATATGGCCGCTGTTTGACAAAAGTAAAGGTCAAAGGACATTTTTTTAAACTGATACTGTAAACTTTTGTTTGTGTGTCAGGTTTCCATACATCGGGAACAGCTGCTGCATCTGTAATTCTGTCCATCCTGAGGAGAGTCCACACTCTACATCAGATCCTTGGCTCACCTATAATGATGCACAGGTGCTGCACACAACTGGATCTGCAGCTTGTGAGGAACAGCAGCACTCGGCCTACATCTTGTTTTACAAGATTAACGTAAGAAGACACAGCATCTCATCCTGAAGTGAGAGAATGGCACGCCAGCTGCAGCCTAATCCAATCTCTCTTCTTTTTTTTTTTCGGTGCCCAGACACCCTTCAGTTTCATCATGTCATCCCTAACAATAGCTGTAGAGTTGGATGGAGGATGAAGACAGCAGAGAGCAAAAGAAACAGGTAAGAGCAGACAGGTAGTCAGAGTTAACAAAAACTTTTAAAGCCAGTGTAGCTTCGGTTTTGAACACATTTATTGATGACAATTTTACATAAATAAGCAGTGTGTTATACTGTTATCAGATGTGGAGTCTCACTAACCACTTTAATAGTGACTTGTGTCCCAAATACTGTTTATTTGTCTTAGTTACAGATAGTGAAATAAAAATGGGAAATGATTGTTTCATAATTGTATACTCAGCTTGGTCGAGAACGAGGGGCAGGATTTTGAATTGATGCCATTGGTGCATCTACTAAAGTTCTGGGGTCAGTTTGAATATCAGTGACCTTGACCTCAAGTTCAAAGGTCAAGTTTTCTGAATATCTTGTGAATGCTACAACTCTGTGACGAGAAGTAAGTCTCCTAGGTTGTTTGAATTTGTATATAGGTGCATCTACTAGGAAGCTGAAGGGTTGCACTGCGGGCCATCTGTAGAGGTGTAGAGTCAACAACCTGTCTCTGAACGTGGACAAAACAAAAGAGATTGTTGACTTCAGGAGAGCACAGTGGGATCACTGCCCACTTAAGATCAATGGATCCTCTGTGGAGGTCATCAAGAGCACCAAATTTCTTGGTGTCCACCTGGCGGAGAACCTCTCCTGCTTCCTCAACACCAGCTCCATAACCAAGAAGGCCCAGCAGCATCTCTACTTCATGCAGAAGCTGAGGAAAGCCCATCTCCCACCATCCATTCTCACCATATGGCCATATGTCATATATAGCACCAGGGTCTCGGAGGAACGCTGTCTCGTTTCACTCTGTACAGCACCTCTGCACGTGGTTAAAATGACAATAAAAGCCACTTGACTTGACCTGTTTTTGTAGCAGTTGCTTGGAGACGAGCACCATACAGTTCAAATGAGCATACATTCCAAAATATGCAAATTAGCCCCATACATCATAATGCTGATGTTTGCTGTTCAGGGTATGAACGTTCTATGCTGAAAGTTTATAAATATACAACCTTTGACTGCTTGTTTTCAGTTGAACTTTTGCAAAGCTGAGGAGATTTTGGCTGCGATCACATCAAGTCCAAAGATGTTTAAA